ATACTGAGGAATGAACCCAGGTCCTTTGCACTGAGCTACATCCTCATTTTTCTTTTTTTTTTTCAGCTTTGCTTTTTAAATTTATTTATTTAAAAAATTTTGAGACAGGGTCTCACTAAGTTCTCCAGGCAGGAGCCGAACTTGTGACCCTTCTGCCTCAGCCTCCTGGAGTGCAGGGATTATAGAAATGCTCCAACTCCCACTACCAGCATACCTTATTGAGGGGTCCAAGCAGAGTGGAAACTCACTAACACTGCAGTGCTTTCAGTTCTCTTCCAGATGCTGTCTTCTTTTTCTTAGGGTTTTCATTGGTAGAACATAAACTCCCATTGTTCCCAAATATCATCACAACAGAATCTAGGTTTACTTATTTATTTTGATTTTCAACTTGCAAGAATTGAGTACGATTCCCTTTCCTGGCAGCCAGCTGTAGTGTGTGACCGAGTCTTCCCTTGTAGCATGTAAGAATCAAAGCTATGTGATGGCTTTGAGGGACTTTCTTAAAATGACGAGATGTGCCTTTGGGTTCCTTTTCTCCCTTCCTGGCTTCTGCGGGCTGGAAGCAGGCATGTCTGTGGAAGCAGCTCTTCTGCACGACAAAGCTCACTTGTGAGCAATGACTCACTCAGTAAAGAAAGAAAATTAAATAAACCAAGGGCCCCCAGGCCTTCATAAAGCATGTCTGGTCAGAGTTGTCTCCTGCATTTTTCTGTGAGAGACGGATAAACTGTCATCTTACATAAACAAGTGCTAATTCAGATCCTTCCTACCTGCAGACAGGTCTAATTCTAACCAGAAGACTTGGTTGTTTTTGGACCTTAAATCTCCATCCCTTGGTCTTGCAGATTTGGATACCTCTGGAGATAATTATTTTGAACTATTATAGAAATACTCGAGTTTTCATTCACTCAAATGCTTGTAAAAATAAAACCAAAAATATAATGGACACATTTTACAACATAATATAAAAATCATAAACATAATTGTCAAATATTTATGGCAAAGCATTAAAAAAGAAAAAGACAGATGTCTTTTGACTTTCCACTGGATTTCTACAAAAAGCTAACTGACTTCCCAATCTCTATCAATTTTAGATAACATGCTGCTCAACAAAAGCATTTAAGTCCTCCAAATTTTTCTCTTTTGCTGTAAAAACTTAAAATGAATAATATTTGTCCAATTATTACTGTTTATGGGTGTTCCCTGCAAAATTCTGAATAGTGTTGAGATTTCACTTCTATTTCCATGGACCCAAGGTTAAGATTTGTGTGACTTTAATGGAAATGTTTCTGCCACCCAAGACAAAAGGGTTCTTTTTCCTTCGGTGACCCAGTGTCTTAAAAACATGCCAAATTTTAGTTTGCCTCATATTTTGTTTAGGAGTTTGGCATATTCTTGTTGTTGCAGTTAATGCTTTGTTTTCCCTAATTGGCTTTTCTACTTTTTTTTGATGGGTGAAGAAATGTGTGCTTTTTTCCCTTTGCCACAAAATCACTGATCTAATCCAGCCTCTTAGTCACTCTGTTGCTTGAATTCTATTTCATTCTCATCTTGAAGACATTCTTCTTGGAGCCTGTTCACTTCCTGATCTAACTCTGGTTGTCTTCCAAGCCTATAATGCAGCTAACTTCCTAGGATTTAGTTCAGCAGAATTCCTAAGTTATCTCACCATTTCTTCCCATCTCTGCTTTTCTTTGCTGTACTTTCACCTTCTCAACTGATTCTCTCCAAAAAGACACCTGACAAAAGAACAGTCATGGTCTAATCTGTCTGAAAATAAACTCACTTTGTCATCATACTCTGTGCATAGCATAGTTAGATTTAGAACTGAAAATGGAAAGGATGGTCTGGGAGAAAACTTTACAGGCCATTTCCTCTTGTAGATAGACCTGCCATGGGGCTTAGACCTTCGTGTTCCCTTTGAACTCAAGTACTCAAGGAACACATGTTGAACTCTGCCAAATTCCATTTCTCTGCCCAACCTGGCCCCAGTTTTTCTAGGACCCTAATTGATCACCTTCATTTATTAACAAAGTTGCAGATCCATAAATGACCATGAAATGGAGAAGTTTTGAATCCATTCAGGACATGGAGGCAGCCAGGACAGCGCAGCTAAAGACCCCCAGGAAAGAGGACTCCAAAGCTGCTGCAGGAAGTGGTGAGGAGGATGGGATGAGGGTGTTCACAGTGGTGGGGGTGGGGGTGGTGGATTGATGGTAAATTTTTAATTTAAACATATGCCATACTCTTTGGTCACACCATATCCCCTCGACCCTGGATACCATCTTTTAATTTTCCATTCACTGACTGGCCCAGCTCCTTGGCTGTAGAAATCTCTACTCATCCTTGTTTTACTGGGAGTCAGGTTCAGTCTCTGGCTCCCACCTACTCAGTCTTTGTAGTTCTCCCTTTAAGAAAATCTTCCTTACCATCTTTAACAAGTGTTATGAATCCTTTTGTTCCTTTGGTACCCAGAGTGGGGAAGAATCCTCTCCCCGAATACTTTTAGGATTGACATAGTGACTGCATTGTCTGGATCTCAGCTCTACTTCTACTAAATTTGGAATGTTCCAGAAATGCTTAATAATGTGGATCTGTGATTGGTTCAAACAAAAGAAAATGAGTTCAAAAGAAAATCAGTAGAAAATCATTTGGTTTCCTCTGTACACATGCACATACACTAAGCACTAAAGACTTGAATGTGAGGTAGCAGAAGGGCTCAGTGCATCTTATAATTTTTCCACATGTCTAATCTGAGTTAGAAAAACAAAAGAAGAAATATCATGAGTCAGAAGTTAACCAAGGTAATTAATTTATATTAAAATAAGTTGAATAGCTATGGCTCTTATTCAGTATGACTTAATAGAAAAAAATCAATTATTGGCTTCAGTGCAATAGATAATGATTCTTGTTTTGAATGCTTTTTCAAAACATTTTTTCTATTCATTTTTAAAATTTGTAGTGGGGACATTTACTTTGCTAAGATAAAGTAATTTACAAGTCAAATTGAAAGGTTTCATTGTCATTCTTCATTATTTCCAGGCAATTACAGAAATTAATTCCAAATTTTCACCTGTGGTTCAAGGTTATCAACTCAAAAAGTAATGTTAATATTGCTTCTTATTCTCATAAAGTTGTAAGATAATGAAGTTTACTTCTTGTTGTAAAATAGATACCAGTCATTAAATGTTTAAAAATAGGTTCAAATAAGCAACAATTATGGAGTATAAAAAGAACATTTTTCTATACATGAATGATTAAAGGAAAACTTTAAAGGAAGTATACTTAGTGAAAGAGCATTTTATCTCCTGGAAGAATGGGGCCTAAGTCTAAGATTTTCAAGTATTGCTCTTTTCAAATAGGGCAGGGGGCCCGAGATAAGACAGAGGAAAGATAAACAGCATTGTCAGATTTTTCTCACTACCTTTGGAGGTCCAGGTAAAATTTTTCTGCTGCATGTGTTTCTGTGGTTTGTGACCCATGAACAAAGTGAAGCCTGTTTTCCTGGTCCTGACTCAATAAAGAGCTACCAAAGTGAGCACAAGGGAAATCAAAACTCCCTAAAGGACATGGCCCTGAGTATTGCCCTGGGAGTAATTACTTTGAAGATAATGATACACAGAGCTTTCACGACTGTTATGCTCTTAATATTTTATCATGCAATATTTTAAAATTTTTATTTTTTTTATTTTTAGTACCCGGGATCAAACTTGGGACCTTGAACTTGCAAGACAGGCAGCAGAACCACTGAGCTAAATTCCCAGGCCATGTTTTATTTTTTAAAAATCCCCCCAAATCAAGTGTCACTGATCCCATTAAGAGTCTATCCACTTTGAGCAGTAGTGGCCCAGCCCATAGCAACTGTAAATCCTCTCTTCTTGGAGGCATAGATGTTGAGTTTCTTGAGTGAGTTAGATCACTTTCTGAGTCAAGCTGAGGTTCATTTTTCTGAGGATTCTGAGTTTGGGGACTATTCGTCAGTTTGGCCAACATAGTTCCTCATTTCCCTTTATTATGGCAAATAATTTATCACGAAAGGAAACTTATGATTCTTATACCTTTATATTTTGAAATAGCCTATATTAGTCACTTTGTCCTGGCTGGGACAAAATATCTGATCCCTATAACTTCAAGGAGGGGTGATTTAATTTGGCTCATAGTTTTCAAGAGATTCAGTCCATGGTCGGGTGTTTCCAAGGCAGAAATGGAATGGCAGAAGGGCCTGGCGGAGGGAAGCTGCTTGCTCCATGGTGGCCAGGAAGCAGAGAGAGAAGGGAGGAGCTGGGGACGGGAATGCACCCTTCCAGGCCACCCCCATGACCACCTCCCACCAGGCCCCATGAACTCACCACCCCATAGTCCAGTCACCTTCCAAACATATGAGGCTTTTGGAGGACACTTCAGGTAGATGTAAATAATAACATGACCAACATGTTCGTATTGCTGAATCCCATGGGCAGTTTCAACTTTCCTTCTATGATTTTTCAGTCTCATTTGGTAGAGTTGACCATCTCCTTGAAAATTTTTGTTCTTGGCAAGCAATTTTAGTGTCACAGTAATTTTTTCCCCTATATGTGTTCTTTTTGAAGAAATGCATCTGCTCTTATTGCTGAAACTACCATGCTTTGCAGATGACACTGAATAAACATTTTCAGCTTTCTCTGAGGTGTAGAACACAAGTCAAACAGCCTATCTGTTTGCTCACTCCAGGAATTTAAGTTATCAAGCACTGGTCTGAACTCATTACTTTTCCCCCAAATCTACTCTTTGTCTTTTTTCTTCATGTCCTATTAGAAAATTCTAACCAACATTTTCCCATTTCCCCTGGCCTCAGAAATTATAATTATCTGCGACTTTGAGTACATCATTTTTGAAGTAAGGATGTATTAGTTCAAATATTGAAGTCTTTTTGTTTTTAATTAAAAATTAAAATGATAAATGAGTCCTGTCAAGAAAATATGTAAAGAATGTGCTCATGGACCAGCTTCAGAATTGTTTAATTGCAATCGTCTATAAACTCTGCCTGTCCGGATCTCCCTTGCTTCCCACTTTACAGCAGCTGTAGCCACTAACCTGAGGTAGGCATTTACTGTTCATGTGAACTTCCATTAACTTTTACAAATATATGTACGTGTGTCTAAAAAGATGTCTGGTGTTACTTTGACATTTAAACCTTCATACAGATAGCTGCATGTTAAATATGTTCTTTGGTAACTTAATTTTTTAATGCTCGGTATTTGATTTGTGTTTTATATAGTGCAAATATATGTATATATGTGAATAAATAAATATTTATTTATGTAAATATGCATATGTGGATAAATAAACTTTATGTGTGTGCAAATGTGGATAATGATCACACTATTTCCTTTATTTGCATTTCTTTATAGTATTCCATTAAATAAAAATTATTTAGTTTCTTTTACAGTAAACCTGTAATTTCTGACTGTATGGTATTAAAATCTGTGCTTGTCTGAACAGGTGTGAACATATCTGATTGTGTTATTTGTGGAACTGTTTCTAGGATATGTGCCCAGCTGAAAAGTTGGATTTGTACATACTTTTGAAGGCATGGACTCGAGCTTGGATCCTCCTGTCTGAGCTGCCTCGGTGCTGGGATTACAGGTATGTTCTACCACATCCTGCTAATAATGAAGACTGAAAAGATTCTACTTGTACACACCTTTGAACTCCTGACTTTGATTTCTCCTTTTCCTAGTGGTCAGTATTAAAGTGATAATATGTAGAACCATCTTAAAAATGTGTAGATACATAATTAATCTCGCCACTATTCTTCCAAAGACAAATAGTTTAGGGTATTTTACCTCTGGTCTCTATCTGTCCTCCACATCACATTATCTGTTCTCTGGTTAGGAGTTCGTAGAAGACTCTTTACTCTTCTAAGAGAAGGGCCAAGGGTGGAGAAGGTCCTCAGTGTGGCTTCCCTGCTGAGTGTGAACTTGTCTGAATTGTTTGGGTTTAGTTTCACCATCCTGTCATTCGGAGCAGCACTGTGGCCCTGGTTCCAGCACCTGCTGCCCACCTTTCCCTAAGCCAGAATCTTTCCCATTTTCTTTTGGGATGGTTGCTCCCCTGGGTCTTGTTTAATTGGATCAGCAGGAGCTACTCTAGTAGCTTTGAGTTCACCAAAATCTTAACACTCTAATTTCTATCTTTTTTTTTTATTCTTTCCCTTTTGAGATTTTTCTACTAACTCAGCTGTCTCAAAAGATGTTTTCCAACTTTTATTTGCCATGTTTAGGGTTTGAAAGATTTTTTTCCTCCCAGGGAATCTTTTTTTTCCATCATGCCAGAAATTAGGACTTCTATTTCCATTTTATTATTTTGCTTTCTTTTACATTTCTGCATTATTTCATTCTGATATCCTAAAAGTAGTTTTCTGATACTGGCTGCCAGGGTGATAATCTAATTTATGCAAACTAATGGTGAGCAGGAGAAATAATGCAAAAACTGCTTTATAAATGCTAAAATGCCATCTAAACTTTTATCACATTTATGGAGAGCTTTTTACACATGAGACCTTTCTGAGTTCTTTGCATATAATTATTTTTCACACAACATTTCTTCATCACCACGTGTGCAAGACAGGAGGAAAGAAGTTACTTTTCTGATCAGTACCTGGCCTAGTAGAGGCTGAGATGGTTTGAATGCACATCCCCTTGATTCAAAAATCCATACCCTCCCCCTGGTACCTCAGAGTCTCCCAAAAGATCTGCAAAGTGCATTGAAACATTTATTTAAAAAGGTTACTCTGCTAGTCCAGAAGCAGCTCCCTAACACTGAATCTTCAGAAGAACATTTATATTCAAATGCTTGGCAGAGGAACTAATCAAAGAGGACATAGTTTTTTTGGACAGTAACATCAACATCATCATTTCCAAATTTTGTCCAATTTTTTTTTAAAATTTAACACACCAATTTAACCACTAGCTAATAATGTGTGGGAGGTTCTTTAGATAACTCAAGGTCATATATTTTAATTTTCACATAGTAGACACCCAGCCCACACAGGAGGAAATAATTGGAAGAGGAAGAGAAAAATTTAAAAAATATATGCCAAAGGTTAACAACTTTCCTGACAGAAGATGAGTTCTTCTAGCCATAATTAGGGATGCCTGAGGTACTTTTCTTTTAGCTATTTCAAAAATAAACAATTCTACATTTCTTCAAAAATAGGAAAAGTCAGTTCTGGAGTTCTAATTACAGCATGTTGAGTATAGTTAATAACAATCTATTTTATATTTGAAAATGGCTACGAGAGTAGATCTCAAATGTTCTTCACATATACACATGCAAAGATGAATATGTGAAACAATGGTTGTGTTAATTAGCTAGATTATGGTAATGATCTCACAATGGATGCATATATCAAAACAACACATTGCTCCATAAACAGACAATTTTTATTTTATATTTTATACTTCAATAAAACTAGAAAAAGAAAACAAATCAGATTTATTCCATAACATCCTTTGCACAAACTTAGCTGATCAAACAATGTAGATCCTAACAGGTGAAAGACCCATAGCTTTTATCAATAATTTTAAAAATTAATTAAGCAGAAATTCTGCAAGATCTCAATTGATTATTGAGTAGGTTGATGAGACTTAAACCAAGCTTTATTACAATAGTTCTTATGTGAATAGACTGCTTTTAAACTCAAAGTGCAGCTACGTTTCTTGTTCAAGGTTAATATTTAGCTAATGAAATATATGTTTTCTGCTAAAATGTTCACTGCTCAGCAGTTAGAGATGATTCTGGCATATTCTCTGGCCCTTTCTGCACTCTCATTTCTAATATCCCCTTGACATTCACCTTCTCTCCTCTTGTGCCCATTCTGTTGCTAAAATAAAAGGATGAATCATTCTAGTGGTGCTGGAATGGAAATGCCTGTGGATTTTCCAATTATTGAAAAACATACTGAGCAAATTATTAGGGAACTGTAGAGCTTAATGGAATACTTTTTGATGACTAGGAGTCATTGCTTAATCAGCTCTAATAAGGTCTGTTTTATGCCACTGCCAAAGATTGCATCTGCAGAGAATGTGACGGGATATTACCTTGCTTTTATTTAAAAACAGAATCACCAAAACAAAACATCCATTAGCCGTCTTTAATTTACAACTAGGAATCACTGTCAAGTGACTGTTGTTTGGAGAATCAGGAGGTAGAAGGAAAAGGTTTGGTTTTCATTCACCATGGCGACAAAGCCTTCTACAGATGGTGGCTGGGCCTGTTATAATCTCTTATCAGATGAACTTGTTGGCAAATCATATAATTTCCAGATATTGGTTTTATTTTTGTGTGTCTCACATTGGGGAACTATGAAGAGGGTGGGCAGGGGAGAATTGTTTTTCAATCGCCTTAATGGACATGGGTAAATTAAGCCTCAGGTAACCTCAATGAAGGCCTTTGAGAGTTCTATCTGCTAAAAAATGTCCTTGGAAAAACTCAACCTCATTTATCTCATCCATGATGTGAAGCAATTGCACTTGTCACACTTCCCTGAGTGCTAAATAATATATGCAGATGGGTAAAAGCTAATGGTATCTGATCAGAGGTGACCAATTCAGTGGTGTGAATGTCTGTGTGCCTCCAAAATTCATACAGAACCTTAATAGCTGTTACGGCTTGTGTCTAAAGACTCATGCAGTCATAGATGGGGCTTCTTCAGAGGTTGCTGAATCTAGAGTGTGTGATTGATTCATGGTGCAATGCTAGGATTAAGGGTGGGTGATTACTAAATCAGTCCACTGATTGGTTTGGTGTGACTCTAATTCTGGTAACCTGTATAAAGTATAAGAGACAAAAAGAGACTTATTTTGCTCCTTGCTTGCTTTGTTACCTTCTGCCCACCATGAATTGTTTCTCCTCTGTGATGCCTGTCTGCCGTGCCATCCTACTTCAGAGCCAGCAGATTATGAACTGAAACCTCTACAAATTGTGAGCTAAATAAACCTCTTCTTCTTTAATGTTGGGAGTTGAGTATTTTGTCCCAGCAATGAGAGAAAAGGAACTAAGACAGTAGCAAATGCAATATATTTAAGAAGCGTTGTCTTGTGGAGTAGTTAAGTTGTGAGGGTCCCATCTTCGTGAATAGGATTAGTGCTCTTATAAAAGTGCTTTAGGAAGATTGTTTGACTGTTGCCTTCTGCTGTTGGAGGTCTCACCAGAGAGGCTCCATCTTTGGAGCAGACAGCAAGTCTTCATAGTCTTCCACCATCTTGGCCTTGACCTTGGACTCCCTTCTTTTGGATGGTGAGCAATGCATTTCCATTTTGATTGTTGATACATTACTCACTCTGAGGTACCTTGAACGGACCAAGATGGTAAGAGATTAAGCTGTAGGCCCAACACTCTTTAAGTCTACTCAGTTACTTCTTGATACAACTCGTAGTTTCATGAATGTAAACATCTGACATATTATAAATACAATAAAAGTTATTTTTACTGTGCCTTAGAATAGTTTCCTATTTGTATTTCCTCAATGCCACATGGAATAGCCAGTAATACTGCAGAATATCACCTTACATGGTGTGAAGTTGTCATTATCTACAAACATCTCCCAGGAAAGAAACACAATTCATGGATTCTTCAGCTACTTCCCCCGAGAGGCCTCACTTTACACTTTCAGTGACAAGGATCTCATTTCAAGGAGTGGCTCTAATTCATGCCAACTCCTTCTTGGGTTAAGCCAAAAAGAGCATCCTTGTAATTTTAAGGCATTATCATTTTTTTGGAAATACATAGGATATATTTAAGCACATTCTGTGCCTTCCTCTCTATGTCTTCTTTGTACTTTCTATTTTTAATTCTTAAAACATTCATTTTATGCCAGCTTTTGAGGTGGCCCAGGACATACTTATGTGAAATGTATTATTGTGGTTTCTCTGAAATTCAAATTTAATTAAATGCTTGTCTTTCTGTTTGCTAAATCTGGTGAATTGTACTTTCCAGAGTACCAACCATCCTGCTAACCTCCTCTGGTTTGTCTTTTGCATGTGATTCAGATGCACATGAATTCGTTTCCCTTCTAAGTGATCCCTTATGAGAATGTACCAACTCCCCATGATGACTGTAATCACTATGTACTGCAAACATGTACTAATAAAAATAAAAATTAAAAAAGAATGGCTAAAATAAAAAAATGGTGAGTTGGGAAGAAATTCCCAGATTGCAAGTGGGAGGGTGTACAAGTGTGACAGCCATTCAGGTAAACAACATGAGAGTTCCTTAAAAAACTACACACACATTCATTATATAGCCCAGGAGCTGTGCTCTTATTTCTATGCAAAAATTTGTACACAAATATTCATGATAGTTGTATTTGTCATAGTCCTGAATTGGAAATAATCCAGATTTCTTTCAATGAGTGAATGGTGGAACAAACCAGTATATTACATTTCCGGATGTGTGTCATTTCAGAAATCTGACAACTGGATCCTTTATATCACCAATCAAGTCACTCCTAACAATGTTTAATCAACTAAGGTTGATTAAAAAATAATAAACCCATGTGATTTTGAGTAAGTTATGTTAGCTCTATGAGCTCCCATTTTCTCATCTCTAAGGAAAACAGATCATCTTCAATGGCCAAGAAAACATCTGTTCACAGCAAGGCAAGCATCCCTGTATTCCAGGGCACACAACACACTACTGGTCTCTCTGGTGATTAGCAATGACCACAGGGTTGGCTTTCAGAGAGCAGGAAAAGAGCAGAGGTGCCAGATGCCATTAGGGTCAAAGTTTTAATGAAGCAAATATGTCTTCCCCCACTCTGTCTTCTGTCTAGCAGTCGCCTGCAGACTGCGGTGGAGCTGTTGTATGAAAGGAGCTGGGTCTTTCAGTTCCCACACAATAACAAAGCAAGGCAAAGCACTAAGTGCTTGTATGTATCCCTTACATGAGAAATAAACTTCTGTTGTATTATATCACCAAACTTCGGAGTGTGATTCATCACAGCTGTTACCATGATGAAAACTATTACATGAATCGCCACAGGAAAGAAAATTCTGCCTCAGTAAATATCTAAACTGGGAGCTTTGCCCCAGCAGTTAGGAAAGAGTCATGACAAAGACAACCATAGCCCAGAATATTATTCTAGTCATGTGAGGAAACTATTGCCTGCAAACAGATGACATTCTGGCTGCCCTTAATTCCAGTACTCTGGGAGGCTGAGGCAGGAGGATTGCAAGTTAGACACCATCTAAAAAAAATTCCTACTGAACCTGAAGCTCAGGAGGAAGCAGTTAGAAAGAATCTAAGCATTAAGGAGATGAGCTCAGTAATGGTCTGGCTGATTTGGAAGTGAAGGATTAGGGAAATGGAGACAGTGCAGAAATTTAGGTTTTGACCAGATTGACAAGTGAATGGTACCTGAATCCTAAATGGCCAGCATCAGTCTAGGAAAGGTCATCATCAACGATAATGATGATAAGAAACCCGTTGAGTCTACTCGGTTAAAAGATCAAAGATATCCTGTAATCCTAGCACTCTGGGAGGCTGAAGCAGGAGGATCATAAATTTGAGCCTACCCCGGGCAACTTTGTGACTTAGTGAGACTCTATCTATCTTTATCAAAAATAAAAAAAAGGTCTGGGGATGTAGTTCAGTATGAAGGCCCTGGGTTCAGTCCCCAGGACCATGAAAAAGAAAAGAAAAATCAACCCCATGGCAGAGGTCAGATGAGCAGCAATCGCTTCTGTGCAAGTCTAATGCTTCAGAGAAATCCACGATATCAAATACTAACTGGGCAAATACAGACAGGTGTGGAAGTTGAGAGCAGAGAATGAAGCAAACTTGATACGATGCCTGGAAAAGAACTTTAAGTCTTGTACGTGGAACTGAAAATAGACCAGAAACTTTTAAAGGAATTACACGAATTAGCTAAGTCTGCTAAGTTACAACAAAGGACTGCAAACTGGGTGCTGGAGAATGGAGCTTATCTTACATTTCCAGTCCAAAATCAAGGTGTTGACAGAGTTGACTCCTCCCCAACGCCACAAGGGAGGGATCTGTCCCCATCCTCTCCTTCGGCGAATAGAACGCCAACCTCAGCTTCACATGACCTTTTCCCTGGAAAGAAATTTGTCTCCAAATTTCTTGTTATTTCTCCTTTTATTTCACCAGTTGCCTAAGAATTCAGCCCACCCAAGTGACCTCAACTTAACTTTATAAAAATCTTGTCTTCAAATATGGGCATTTTCTGAGGCACTGTTGGCTGGAATGTCAATATATTAATTTTGGATGGCACAATTCAACCCATAACAGGAATTTTTGGAGGAAATTATTTTACCAAAGACATAATTTTCTTAGATGTTTAGGACAAAAAAAGAAAAGGCTGCTTACAGTAAAACAATTCTCGGCTCCCACTGTTCACCGAGCAGAAACCATTCTGCAAAAGCCCTCACACTCACGTAACCTTGGAGGACAAAGGACTGTGATTCACACCCTACAAGCTGGAGCCAGGGCCACGGGGAGCCCTGAGTCCCCCTCAACAGGTTATTCCAGGGCCTTCCTCCATGGCACCTCAGGGCTGTCTCTGGCCACCAGCAACCCATCTGACAAGGGGCCAGATGCTCCTTGGGTGCCCTGTGACTCTCTTTTTTTCTTTCTCTCTCTCTTTCTCTCTCTCCTTGCTCCCTCCCACCCCCCTCCCTTTCATTGTTATTTTCCTCTCCCTCTTCTCCTTCTCTTCTTCCTCTCCTTTCCTCTCTTCCCCTTCCCTTTATACTTCTCTTTTTTCTTTTCCATCTCCCTCTCCTTTTCCTCCCTCTCTCTTCCTCCTCTTCTTCCTCCCCTTCTCCTCCCTCTCACTCTCCATCTCCTTCTTCTCTTCCTTCATCCCTCTCCACCTCCTTCTCCCTCTCCACCTCTTTCTCCTCCTCCTCCTCCTCTTTCTTGTCCTCCTTATTCTTCTTCCAGTACTTGGGATTGAACCAAGGACCTTCACACTGACCTACAGCCCCAGCTTTTTAATTTATTATTTCATGACATAGTCTTGCCAAGTTGCCCAGCCTGGGCTTGAACTTGCGATCCTCCTATGTAAGTCTTCCAAAGTGCTGACATTACAGGTCCATGCCACCCACCTTCCTTTTCTATGTGGGAGTTCCTTTTTTGCTCTGTCTAGCCCGGCTACACCCCTGTGTCTTAGATGTGGATTTGGAGGACATACTTCTGGTCTTCCTAGTTCATAGATCACCAGACCACGGAGTCAACTCTAGATGTGATATCAAGGTCACAGTACCCCCCAAGGTGGTTCACTTTTTGCTGCTGATGCCACAGCTCAGTGGTGCGTGTGTCTCTGGATAGAGAGAAGTGCTTCCTCACAGATCTGCTGGTCAGAAAGGAAGGTGGAAATAGTTAGCTTTCTGTTCCGCTTACAGGTGTGTTATGGTTGAGGTCTAGAATGTCCCCTGGAAGGCTCATGTGCTCAGAGATGGACCTTTGGATTGTGTCAAGGGTTACTATAGTTAGACCTAAATGTGCTGTTACCAATAGGAGGTGGGGCCTGGCTGGAGGGAATGTCAGTGAACTGGTGACCTGGAAGGCTTTGTCTGCCTCCCCAGATCCTCCCTTTCTCTGTTTCCCTCCTGCCATGAGATGAGCTGCTCTCCTCGGCCAGACCCTTCCTCTATGTTCCCGCCTTGGAGCCAGCTGACCATGGGCTAAAACCATGAGCCAAAATTAGCCTCTCTTTTAAGTTGTAGATGTCGGGTATTGCACCTCAGTGATGAGAAAGTGACTAAGACATCTAAAACATATATGTTCAGATGTACCGACAGTGACAAGAGCACTGGTTGCACCTATATTTTCTCTTATCTTGGCTTCTGATTTCTAAGATAAATCCTCATGTTTCAGTAAAAGGTAAAGTCACCACATTGAATCCCTCAGTTTGTGAGGGAAGAGATTGAGCTCAGAAATACTGGTGTTTGATCAAGGTCAGGTCAGTGTCGAGGGTCCCTGAGCATGAGCTGAGATCTGGAGACTGCGTGGTGGGGTGACAAGGACCCTAGCACCTATTCTGGAGGACCAAGTGGAGCCACTTGGATTGGGTGTGGGAGGCATAGTAGGGCCGGGACGCTTCTACCGTCTGGAAAGAGATCATGGGAATATCCCTGGGAGGAAGTGATCTCACGCGTGGACCAGACATGAGCTGTGGAAATGTATTTCCAGCCTTTCAATTCTTGACCCCAGGACAGCTTTGAAACAAGAGGACTGTGGGTTTTGGAATCAACATGTGAAAGAGAGTTGCCTTCACATCACAATGATAACATCGCACTGCAATTTGACAGAAAAATAAATAGTTATTTTGCTAAATTGTTGAAACTTGGGGGCTTATTTGTTAAAGTAGCTAGCATTTTCCTAGTTAATAATTTTATCTAATTTAAGGCCCCTTCAAGACGTAGGATTCTACAGTATGCTCCAGGTGCCATGACACACTGTAAATCCAAAATAACAGGAATGCCATTTGTCACAAAAATTTTTATGGAAGTTTTGCATATTATTTACCCTTAAATATGAATATCAGTGATATGCATAATAGCTGGTTGTGGCTGCTATTGATTTTCCTGGTATGAAAAATTCAACATAGCCCAAGGAAACACAGAATTATAAAATTTTCTTACCAACAAGTTGGCAGACATTATCATCACTTTACTGATGAGGAATGCACGTTCTGAGATGTTCAGTAAATTTGCCTAAATTCACATTCTTAGTTGCTGACAAGAATTAAAATTTAACCCAGTTTATTCTGAAGACTCAGTGCCTGCAACTCTACAAAAGCTATATATATATATATATAATTCATATATATGTATATATGTATGTATGATTTCCAATTTCATTATTGTCTTCATTGCCAATCTTTGTCTGTCTGGTCTTGCAATCAGACAAAATCATATTCACATCCTACTCAGTCTGCTGTGTGACCTTGAGGAAACTGGTCAGTGTCTCTGAGCCTCAGGCACCTTCTCTGTTAGGCAGACAAAATAATAGAAGCTAATATATAAAGTAGTTCTAGGGAATCAACATGTGATAATGAATACAAAATGCAAAAATGTACACAGGAGAAATACATTTCTCTTAGAAAGTACTCAACGATAATTATGGTCATCATAATGAAGATAGCTTTAGAAAAAGAATGGTTTGGGGTATAAAATATCCCTGACTCTCTGAGGAGACATGTAGAAAAGATTCGGAAGACTACTGTGCATCTTAATTTATAGTAGAAACCTGGTACTGCAATACAGGGACCGTCTCGGTGTATTTCACTTTAAGTACAATCAAAGAGTTAACCCAGAAGCTTGGAGAAATAAAAGATTCCCACTTTGAAATGGAAATTGCAGGATTTATCTCTGTTATCTCTGAAAACAGGAAGGTTATGATTATAGTGTGACTAGGAGACACCATCAGCTCAGCAACCCAAGAGCTCTCACAATTTAGTCTTAAAGCTCAAAAGAATTTTTAAATTAAAGCACAAAGTAATTTAAGTAAGACAACCTCAACACAAGTGGAAGGTAAATTCTCTTTTCAAGCTGGGCTGAAAAAAATCCACAAAAATCAAAGGGATTCCATAGACTATTTCACAGGTCGTGAAGAACATTTTTCACATTCACGGTCGGGGTTAAATCCATGCAGCCATAAAATTGAGACTGACTCTTATCTGACTCCAGGACCCTCCGTTTCAGAGGTGCCTGTCTAGAAGTCCTGGAGCTGAGAAGGAGCTCAGAACTGATCCCAAGTCCTGTGTATTTTCCATTAATAACACATCACCTCCTTATGTATAAGATCTGTTTTAATAGATGCGAAGTATTCTACAAAATGCAGCCATGATCAGCAGTTGAAGCACTTGATGAAAGATGAACATTTATTTAAGAGACTGACCCAAGTTAAGATGAAAATGAACCAAATCCCATAGACAAAAGGAAGTCAGGAAGAGAAAGACTTACTCGTTCGAAAGAAAATTTTAATCAAAAGCATGTGATTACTTATGAGATAGTTAGGGGCCCAAAACATTGTCTAAAACTATGTTCACTAGGATAACAATCAGTGCTGTTTTTGCATAGTTTCTAGAATACCAGCTGTCCTCAACCTTCGCTTTTATTACCAGTGCATTGAATTGTTCCAACTAAAAATTTCTAATACAATTTCTTCCATTACGGCTCCTGTCTTCCAGGTCTACTCTGTTTACAACTTTAGTGTTGGACTTAGATGTTACTTATCTCATTCATCTTAACTCCTTAACACACACTCACACACACACACACACGTTCAGGACTCCTCTGCCTCTGATATTCTTTCCTTAGGTTTTCTTGACTTATCTTGGATATCACCCAATCTATTTTCCAGATCCCACTTAATTAGCTACTTACCTCCTTAGCTCAGCTCCTGTGACATTCTGTTCTGTCATGTCTAATAGACACAGAATTATCTGTTCGTTTGTCTGTCTCTTATTGTCTGCAAGACCAAAAATTGTACTTTCTTTGAAATGAAGGCAAATATTTATTTAGAATCAAAAAAGGAATCACAAGTGATATACTCAAATTGTTGAGACATACAAGTAACACAACCCAGGAAACACACTGTATTTATTCTTCCTTATTTATACTTAGCTTTTGTTCTGGATGTGTTCAGTGTCCTGTCCTCCTTTCCTGACCCCCTTTTACAGGGCTGCTAGCCCTCTCTCTCAGTTTCTGTTACCCTGCCTTTTTTTTTTTTTTTTTTAAAAAAACAAAAACCCAACATTCCAGAGCACTCATCCTTTGGCTATCAGATGTATTCTTACTTGTTTGCTTATTATCTTTCTTCCCAGCTAGAATATAAGTTCTGTGAGGGCAAAGACATTGCTGTCTAGTTTACCATCTTTTCCTGATGTCTAGAACATAATTGCTTAGGAAATTATTTCTGGTAATGGTTTAAATGTTTTACACAGAATTTCATCTTTTAAAAAATATATGAAGCATATGATACAATTGTTGTTTTAAGAAAGAAATAAGAAAAAAGACCAGAAATAGAATAAAATATTAAAAGGTCATGATGAACTGGCAGTGGTGGTGCATATGTTCTAATCCCAGCTCTCTGGGAGGCTGAGGCAGGAGGATCAAAAGTTGGATCCCAGCCTGGGCAAAGACAGGGGTAGAAAAAGAGAGGAAAACCAGATAAAGAAAGGCACCACGTAGCTTTAGGACTTGCATCAAGAGATCAGAAAAAGAAAAAAAAAAGCTGACAGGACACAGAGAGAAGGCCAGGGGCACAAAAATACCACCCCCCACCTCCAATAAAATCTAGGAAAACAAAGGGGAGGGGCTAACTTTAAGGCAATATGTAGTCACACCTATGCACTAACATACACACTCATTTACATGTGTGTTCATTCTAGAGCCACTATGTTATTCACTCTGGGGTCATCATAGGGTACAACGGACATCCACACGGCCCTTACTAACTCTAAGCTAACCAAGAATAAGACACTCCCTTGCCAACTAGCTGCTCACCTTAAAGATAAGGCTCTAAAAGGTAGGTCAAGGACAAGTAAACAGACAGACAGACAGAAGCTGCACATAGACCACCCAAAGAGATGACGTTAGACAGAGGTACCCAGAGGGCCCCAGGGGGGCAGTGTCACTCCCTGCCATGTAAAAGCAGCTGGGAACAAAGGAGCCCCCACCGTGATTCTTCTTTACCGTGGTAGCCATCTACCTTCTCCACTCCCCCCTTTCCTTTCCCTCTTTACAAATAAAGCGTCTTTCTTTCCTTACATTTTGTCCTTCTAGTTTTTACTGGGGCCGAGTTTACCACCCCAGTGGGCTGCAGGGGTAGCAGAGCAGTGGTCTTGTCGCCCAGATGTGACATCTTCAGTTCCCTGACCAGGAGCCTGATGCGACGCTTTGAGTTGTTGTAATAGTTCTTTCTTAAATAAGCAGAGGAATTTAAGTTTATATTGGAATAAGTGGAATGATACAATGAGGCTTTCAATAACAGCAGAGATAAAACTCATTGAGCACTTTGCCTGTGTTAGGCTAATTGATATTAACTTTTATCCTCAAAACAATTCTGAGAACAGTTGGGGGTGGAGAGCTGTAACAAATGGCAGGGAAAATTGAATCTATTTAACTGCAGAACTAAGACTATAATAAACTCGAGAATTCTGATCACAGAACACCAATAGGGACAACTGGGTAACCATCTGGAAAGAGTGATGCCGATAGTTCTTTCACAACTTGCCATAAAATAAATTATAGATGGAGCTAAGAGTTAGGCATAAAAAGTGAATTTCTAAGTTAGAAGAAAATATTCTAACGTTAAAAGCACATCTCGGTTTGGGAGCACTTTACAAGAAAAAATGAGTCCACAAATTATTAATTTTAACTGTATGAACAAACAAACAAAAACAGGAGAAATATCTGCATGGGCATCATATCCTTAATATACCCTTCGTGCCCTTTATACACAGTTTCTCTATATTGATAAGAAAAGAATAACAAGGAATTAATGGGAAACTTATATGGTGGACTAATTCACAGAAAATTATATACACATGGCTTTCAAATATGTAGAAATATATTCAACTTTATTTATGATAAGGGAAATGCAAATAGGCATTATTATATTACATTTCTTATCAGATTAGCAAAAATCAAGATTTTGATAACACGGCACAGTGTGAAACAACATACACTATTATGAATTATTGATGGGATTTTAAATATATTATCGATAATGTTCCAAAACAAATTGCAAAAATTAAAATGAAAAATGGACACACCTTTTGATTCAGTCATCAGTTTAACTTATAGCATTTTTACTTATGGATAGATTTGCCACAGACATATACACATTCAAGGCTACTTCAAGGCAGCATCTTTATTTTGGAAATATAGATTAAAAATAAGATGAATGCCAACCAGTAGAAAACCAATTAATAATTGTAATAATCCATAATATCAATAATATGCCACCATTCAAAAGAGTAAGTGCTGCAAAAAGCAGGTAAGAAAGGATCTCTGAATTAAATTATAACAAGTTGTTAAGTGCAGGAAGCAGGGAACAAGCTGGCATACATCATACATTCTCATTTGTGAAAAAATAAAAGAACATATCACACATGCTTACAAAGATGAAAGCAACTTCTGAAGACAGTCACCTAGGAAGCCTCCACCCAGCAGTAAGGACAGGGAGAATCAGAGATGATCTGAATCACCTTCAGAATCATCTGTTAACGAGGGGAGAGATTTAAACCTGAGTCACTCACTGCTCTGGTTTTTACTTTTCTCCCTAACCAGGATGCTGAGCTTTCTGGTGAGCATTGGGAATTCAGAGGTAGGAGCTCTGGCTCTTCCCCTGGAGGGACTCAGAGTAGGTGGGAAAGACAGATCACTGGGCGGAAGCATCGTGATTTCCTGGCCCGGGGTTCTGTGAGGTCACAGATGAGTGCTGTGAGAGAACCTAGAGGTCAGCTGGAGTTGTATTTTGGGAGGAGACTGATCAGTTTATCGCATCATAAAGAGAGAAAGAGGGTGCAAAGCCAAGACATGAGCCAGTGGGACCACAGGCTTCCCATGAATCAGTGAACCAAAGAATAAATGAGTGAGTGCACCCAGAGATTTTCATGAATATCTGTTAATGCTTGGGCGTGAAGTGGTGACCAAGTTAGACAAGCCTTCCACCCTAGGGAGGGAAGACAGGCTGAAGATACAAACAGATGAGACCACCTGCAGAGAGGAAGTGCTAAGCCATTTTAGGAATGCAAAAGAAGAAAGAGGACATTGATGGAAAGGGGAACGGTCACCGCGCTCCTTTCTAGATCAGCCAGACAGATTTCATGAAAGGTGACATTTGGGTAGAGATCTGAACTGTGAGAAAAGAACTCATCAAAAAAAGAATGAGTGGGCCGGGGATTTAGTTCAGTGGTTCCGGCACCTGCCTCAAAAGTACGAGGTCCCAAGTTCCATCCCCGGCACCAAAACAAAACAAAACAAAACAAAACAAAACAAAACAAAAAGAAAGAGTGTGTCTGGGAGGCTGGGACCAGGAAGATCTCAAGTTTGAGCTCAGCTTGGGCATTTTGGCAACTTAGGGAGACCTTGTCTCAAAATAAAAACATAAAAGGAGCTGGGGATGTAGCTCAGTGCGAAGGCTTTGGTCTCCAACCCCAGTACCAGTAAATAGGAAAAGAAGAGAGAGAGAGAGAGAGAGAGAGAGAGAGAGAGAGAGAGAGAGAGAGAGAAGCCACGCAGTGAAGCAGGAAGGACAAAAGGAGGTCCAAGCTGGACTCACTCTCCAGACAGAGACCAGTTTATCCTTTGGGGAGAAAACCATAAGAAAATCAGTCACAGATGGGGCCCACTCAGATCCTGTCAAGCAAGGATAAAGAGTTTTAGTCAATGAGAAGTCATCGGAGAGAGGCAGGGTGTGGTCTGGTTTCTGCGTTAGAAGTTCACTCCCACCATGTGTGTGAGAGGGAGCAGGGCTGGAGGCTTGGGGACCACCGAGGATGCTGGGCATGGGAGGCAGTGTCAGGTAGTGGAGTGTGGGCCGAAGGGTGGAGAGAGGGGAAAGCCAGGATACGCTTTCAGCTGGGGTCATGGCAGGGGCAGGAGGGGATGAGAAGAGAAGGCTCCTGGGTGACTCTGCCTCTTGGTTTGTGCACCTAGTGAGCTAGCGTCCGCTCCGACGGTGGAGGGGTCCTCATCTAGGGCAGAAGGCGAGAGTCCTGCAAACCTGGGCTTAACTGCATGAAGGTCATTTGGTCCACGCGTGAGACTGATTTTAAAAACGGGGAGAGGTAAGAGTGTAAAATTGGGGGCACAAAATATGAAGGCCTTGAGTGTAGGATAAAGAAGTTTGGGCTTTATTTGATAATAATCTTGTCTTGGATGCTTAATCTTCTAAAGCAGCATTTATGTTTTTGTCCTCTCATGACAGATAAGAGAACTGAGGGGCAAATAAGTTAGCAATATGATCAAGGTCGTAGACAACAATAATAGCAAAGGTCTGAGCTTCTCTCTACTTCCTATTTGTCTCTTATTTGCTCTCTCTGTCTCTGTCTCTCTCTGTCTCTGTCTCTCTCTGTCTCTGTCTCTCTCTGTCTCTGTCTCTCTCTGTCTCTCTCTCTCTCTGAAATGGATAGGAAACAAGAGACAGAGGGAGGTGGAGGAAGTGAGGGGAAGGAGATGGAAAAAAATAGAATTGAAAGGAAAAACGCTGATGAAAATGGAGGTTTTGCAAATGGGAAGAGGATCAAGAGTTGGAAGGATCAGGCAGGGAGAAGGGTAGGGAATGGAAAATCACAGAGGAGTGATGATGTATTGCGTCCAAGGACCAGCTCTCCAGGACACATGCAGTCACTCTGTGCTGTGGACATGCACTCATTTACAAAAAGCTGAGTAAGGTCCAGGCACTCTGACCCCAGACCGATGTGTGCTCTCTCCTTTTCTTTCTCTTCCCTTCCTCTCTTGTCCTCTTTTCCAACTTCACATTCTATCATAAATTATTTGGCTAGCAATCATCTATTACCTAACATGTATCCATCTACTCCTAATGTAGACCATGTACATAATTTAAAATTTTTAAGTGATCACATTCAAAAAGTGAACAAAGCAGGGGAAAATAACTTAATAACAACTTATTTAATAGACAAACATATCCAAAGTATTTTCAATAGGTAATTGGTATAAAATATATAAAGGCAACATCTTACATTACTTTTCATACTAAATCTTCCAAATCTGGTGTGCGTACATGTGCGTGTATTTGCCCTTAAGGCACGTGTCATCTATTCCAAGCACATTTCAAGTGTCTAGTGGCCTCAAGTGGCTCACAGCTGTCACACTGGATAGCACAAGTCCTCAGCCCATGTCTTTTACTAGTGGAAAATTCTAGAGGAAAATGGCAGGGTTACTGCTCATAAAAACATTCTGAGCTATTGTAGAACTGTCATGGGCAGAGCAAACCCAACAAAAGTAAAAGTTGAGGAAGGAGAAAGAAATTAATTCTTACGCCAAATACCTCACCTCAGCCTCCCTAGCTGCCTATTTCTTTTTCTTCTTGCTAGTGAACAGAAGTGGTAAAGGGTGAACAGATAAGAATATTCATAACTATTCAGCTTTGTATTTTTTTTCTTGCTATATAGACTGAATTCCTAACACATGATCAGGTGGAAATTAGAGCATGCTAGTGTCACCTTGTTCAAGGGCGTTATTACAAGAAGTACAAACTATTATCTTCTTCACAATGTAGGCACTCCTTTCAAACTTTCTAATATCCCCATGGAGCAAATCCACAGCCTGTTTTCCAAATATCTCCTTGAATCAAACAGAAAATGGCTTTCTTTCTAACGTGAATAATATTCATGCTTACATGTAGGTCAGAGGCAGCCAAACAGCTCTTGTGTCTGAAAGTCTATTTTAGACTCGGCTGTCATGACAACCATGGGATGTAGACCAGGTGTCTTTTATCTCCTGACACATAGACAGCACGTTTTCAGGTCTGGCTGTGATTTCCGGGGAGCGGCACTTTGGCACTGCCCTGGGGTGCTTCAGCCTGCAGGGTCTTGGCAGGGGTGCGGATCTGACTGACTGCAAAAAGCTTCTCTTCCACGTGCTCCTGAATTCATTAGTTCAGACTGGCAAAAGTGGGGTGGACCGGGCTTCCTAACGGGATAAGAGTCCCCAGCATTGCATGAGCAAGGGGCGCTGAGGGGATGGTGAGGGTACAGTTGATGCTAGAATTCAGGTTTTCAGTCCACTGGGTTCTTGTTTTGTCCAAGGACACGGGCAGGGGCAGGGGAGGCTCTGGAACAGCTCCCCCGCCCAGTACGAATAGAGATCGTCTTTGTCCCTGCCCAACCCTGGTATCAAATGGGTTAACCATGACCTCGTCCCTATGCTGCTTGCCAAAGAATATGACTCTAAGGTTACCCTTCGTCCGCCGAGTTGTCCCCACTCACCTCTGTATTGTAGAAACTAGTTCTGGGATGTTGGGAAAGATTAGCTGATTAAATTGACATCATAATAACTAAAGTTAGTGACTGTACATTATGCAGTAGACATCGTATTGAGCAGCTTCTATTAACTTGCTGGGTTCTCACTCTATTCTAAGCATGCATTACTGTTATCCTAGTGTTAAAAGCGAGGAATTAGAGTCTGGGAGGGAAATGACCTCCCACGGTCATTTGATCATTGTATGCCACTGCCTGAGACATCCCAGAGAACTTGCTCTTTAACTTTGCATGTGTGACTTCCAGGACACAAGTCACAAGCTCAGTGTGGACATGTAAACGCTCTTGGGGCATTTCTTTTTTCATGTGAAATGTAGACAAAACTAAGGAACACACATACAGAGCAGCATCCAGATAAAATTATCAGCAATCAATACTCCATAAAACATTTTCACTTATAGTATCATCTACCACAGCTATGCCATATATGTGTCCTTCTCATATTCTTTTCTTAATTATGAAACTATCAGAAATTCTCAGTTAGAAAAGACCTCAGTGATTAGCAAAGCCAACCTCCCCATTTCACAGAATAAGTCATTCAAACAGACTAAATAGATCCCTAGGATGATGCAAGTTATTAGTAACAGAGTTTGGTCAACAGAAACATCCCAGTCCCCTAGGCGTGCTATGTCTAATTTATTTTTTAACAATGCAGTGAGCTGCTTTATGATCCCGACTTGAAAGAGAAACTGTGAATGTGAGGAAAGCAACGTTAGGGCATTCAATTTGGTAAAAATCTGTGCGTGTGTGTGCGTGTGCGTGTGCGTGTGTCTAAGAAGAGAATCTTCAAAAGCAGCAGGAAAAAAAGCATGCCAAAAATTCTAAGTTTCATAGTTTCAGCCTTTGCCTCCCTCAAATGCCTCTTGGAATTGTCTTCACTCTGAGCTTTTGAAATTGCTACCTCCTCATGGCAGTGTGGAACAAAGCAAATGTTCTTAATCCCAGCTGCAGATTAGAATCTTTTGGTAAGCTTAAAAGAAAAAAGAATGAAACAAAGAAGAGAGAGAGGAAAGAGAAAGGGGAAGGGAGAGAGGGAGGGAGAGGAGGAAGAGCAGGAGGAGCAGGAGAAGGGAAAAAGGGAGAAGAGGAAGAAGGAGGAGGAGGAGGAAGGGAGGTGAAAGAAGAGGAGGAAGAGGAAGAGGAAGAGAAGAGAAAAGAAATGAAAGGAAAAAAAGAAAAGAAAACATCCCAGCCCGATTCCTGCCTCCCACCCTCAGAAATTCTAATCGATTGCTCTGGAAGGGTTTTTTTCCCCCAAAGCTCCCAGGGGTGAAAACTATTATGCTAGAGGAGAAAGAGGGGACCTTGGTATCAGAATCCTGAACCCTTTTCTGGATCCTGTCGTGTCTGTGCTGTGTGGTCGGTCACAGGCTGCTACTCTACGTTCTCTGTCCTGAAGGAGACCAGGCCACAGAGCCAAAGGTTTATAGGCAACGCACAAACCCCAGCGGGAAAGAAAGCCCTTGCAAGCCCCATGGGTGTGCAGACGGGGGAGCCTGCCGCTCCACGGGTGGGGCCAACTTCTTGATTCACCTGTGGACAGAAGCCTGGGAGATCTGAGCCTGCTTCCCACTTTGCTGCCTCTTTTCTCACATCTGACTGCTCTGGATGGAAAAGGACCCTGTGCTCCAGCGGGTGGAGGGGTCGGTTTGGAAAGCTACTGCACAGCTGCTCCCCCGGGGCAAACCACTGCCTGCTCTTCAGCCTGTCTGCTGCCCTTTGCATGGCCCTCACCTCTTTCTTGTGTCAGCTTTGCTTTTTGTCCTAGTGCACCAACACAGTTTTATGCTTCTTCCCATAGGTTTTTTCCTCTGTTCTTGTATAGGAAATGTCTAACCACTCCCGGTGCTCCCTGTCCACCACGATGCAAGGAGAGCAAGATGATGTAAACATGAGTGGGAGAACAGCTTGGTCACTCTGCGGAGAAGAGAGGTGCAAGTGGGACAGAACTTCCTTCCCCCCGAGGTCTTCATTCCTTTAGGGCTCCGGGTGGGTGGTGTCATGAGATAAGGCCGGGTGCTGGATTCATTTACTGTTGCTGCGCTACACAGGACAACAGCTTTAGTGGCCTTAAACGACACATTTATTAGCTCACGCTGTATGCTCATCAGGAAACCCTAGCTCCATGTTCTGCTCAGCTTTTCTTAAGCTTGCAACCGAGGCACTAATTACACTGGACTCTCATTTGGACTGGCAGCTAGAAAAGACCCTTTCTACTCTCCCTCGGGTAGGGACAGACGATTTTCTTTCAGCTGTGTGACTAAGAACATCAGCTTCCTATGGGCTGGAGAATGGAGGCTGCATATCCTGGAGGCCACCTCAGTTCCCTGCCGTGTGTCCCTGTTTATGGGAGCTGGAAAACAGCTGTTTCACTCTCTCCAGCTTGTACAGGAGGAGTCATATAGTGTCGTGTCAGCTATGTCACAGATGCCATCACGGGGGGGCGTCACACAGGGTGACTCACTGAGGACTACCTTGGGGCATCTCCAGCAGTCACTCACCTCCGGTCAGGGTCTGGTAGGAGGTTCTGACAGGATGGATATTGGATTTAGAGAGAAAGAAGAGGGAAAGGGACATAGTTATGAGGGGAGGAAGACCCCATCCTTGTATGTCACGTCTGTGAGGGCAATGCCCTGGCCGGCTCCACAGGGAGGTGTGAAGGAATGGGCCCTATAGCCAATGTGAATCTAGTTTAGACCTTAGGTTGGAGGGCGGCAGCCATCCATGAGGCTCCTCTGAGACTCTCGTCAAAGACAAGGCCACACGAGACTCTGAGGCCGAGCCAGAAGGGACACCAGGGGTCATCGTGGTTGTCTGAGCAGGTATCTGGAATCATGGACACTCAAAATCAACAGCATGTAGTATATTTTGTACTGCCGTGGCTCCTGTTTTCTAGAGGTTGTTCCCTCTAGTTCACTTCTGGCTAAAGTTATTCATCCTAAAATGTTAAGCCCAAGTAACGCTATCTGACTCCCTGAGCACATCCCCCCTCCATTTCTGATCAGTCACCTTCTCTGCCAACAAAGAACCTGCACTTGCCTTCTTCTGAGCATTCTGTTGTTGTGGAGGCCTTGTGTTGAAGCCTTGGTCACAAGGCTGTGATGTTGTTGGGAGGAAGTGGAATCTCTAGGAGGTGTGGCCTAGTGGGAGGAAGTCAGGTCATTGGAGGCTGGGCCTTGAAGAGGATATTGGAACCTGGTACCTTCTCTCTCTGCAAACTTGTCACCATGAAATGAGCAGCTTTGCTACACTCTGCTGCCGTCATGATGTTCTCTCACCACAGGCCCCAAAGCAGTGGAGCCAACCACCTGTGGACTGAAATGTCTAAAACTATGAACCCAAATAAACTTTACTCCTTAAAATTTATTTATCTCAGGTATGTTGTGTCAGTGATAGAAAACTGATACAATAATCTTAACAAAAATCTTATTGGCACAGCTCATCTGCCGTGAGCTGTGGGCATGATCTTAAATTTCTTTCTCGAGTTTTTAGCATAAAGCCTGTCTCCTTCCCTGCACTTACATAATCCTAACTACTTATATAAAGATCCTAAAGAGAATAATACCTAAAAAGCTCTAGTCATTATTTGCCCTTTCTAAATTAAAGGCTAAGGTTAACAAAAATCCTTAATGCGTTTATTAATACAATATTTTATTCACCATAGGGGAAACTGTGTGTGTTTGGAATCAGCCAGTTAAGGCTGAAAAAAACCTTTCAGCCTTAATGCTTCCCTTTTCCTCACAGTTTCTACTATAATTTTTAGTTGTTTGTTGATCAATCTAATCTGAATGAGGGAAATACAGTTTTGAACCTTCCTGCCACTTGACAAATTTGCTTTTGAGGTGTGTGTGATGTCAGAGGAGAGAGGAGACTCTACTGTGTCCCTCTAAACACTCATCCCAATCCCTTTTAAGACAATGGGGAAGGAGAGACATTTCTGAGACTGTTGGAGTTTTTCATAGGATTGCCTGGTTCTGGGATGGTGCTATAAAGAAGGATAACTTTGAGTTGTTTGTAGGAAAATGTGTGCACCTCGGGACCATAATGTTAAGTGAAATGAATCAGGCACACAAGCTAAAATATCACATGGCTTCTCTTACATGAGAAACCCAAAGTATAAATAAAGAGCAAAATGAGAGATGGATAAAAGGAAACAGGGAGAAAGATCTTTGGCATATGGGAAGGGGACCAAGAAATGAAGGCAGGGGAGGGAAAGGAAAGGGGATCGAAAAAGAATTAAGAAGTGTTGTGTGCATGTACCATCTTCCCACACTGAGTGTTATCATTATGCAAACATGTACTCATTTTAAACAGCGCTGCTTACCAGCCAGAACTATATAGGTCCCATATTTGACCAACTGTTTTTGACACTGAGCAAGTTGTTTGAGTCTATGCCTCAGTTTCCCCAACTGAAAACAATGGGAATGACAGTGCCTTATAGGATCAATGTCAGCTCCCTTTCTCTCCTGGCCCCCTCCCTTTTGAGAATTTTTATATTAAATTCAAAGACCATAAAAACTAGAAATGAATTTCAGCTTTGCCAGCTTTCTGCTGGTAGCTAATGAACCCATATACTCAGAATGCTTTCTAATGGTGATCCTAAAAATACGAAAGATTAGAGTTTTAAAAGGCCTGAGAAATAGTCTACTCTGGAATGTATTCCCAGACATAAAATCTACAGCACAGCCCTAGCTTTATTGATACCTTCATACAATAAGAAAAGTACACAGTGAAGCTAAAGGAAAGTTTCCAAGCTTAATCAGGGGACACTTCAAAGGACTGTATGACGTAAAACGTTCAGACAAGCTTGTGTAATCTGCTGCCTCATTTGTTAGGGAAGGAGAATAAGGCCTAGAGAGGGGAAGTAACTTCCCAACATCACACCCGACATCGGAAATGCACTTCATTTCATCAGCGCTGTCTGTAGTCTGTTAGAAGTGCTTATTTAACTTAATAATTTATTTTCTAACTAATTTATAACAAAGATGCATGTATTTTGGGTCTGAGAAAAAATAATACTTGATTTGGGAATCCACCTCCTCCCACTGAAGTAAGGAGAACAAATTTTAAACACTTTGGTAGAAACACTTCCTTATTGCTTGGTGACCTTAAAGGCAAGCCATGGGTTTCTACTCTACAGAGAGCGGACATGTGTAACTCACGAGATGTCATCCTGGGAAGAGGATCTGTGACATGTGGAGATGTGGCTTCTACAAAATCCCCATGGCGAACTGAGTTTGTATGGTTGAAATATCAGAAAAAACTCAAATTAATATATAAACTATGAGTGAAAGAGACAATCTGTTACTCTAAATTTTTTATCCTTTCTCTTTTTTATTTCCCTAATTGTTTTGTGACCTTGAGCCAGTTACTTATCTTTTCTAAGACACTGTTTCTTCACCTATAAAATATAAATTCTACCTTCTACAAAAGGAAGGGAAGCCAAGTAGTTCTCAAACTTGGGCTTGGTGGGACCAGATGGAACAATACTTTGGGAGGAAGGGTGAACATAGTAGGGTCTCATGTTGATCTTGATTCTTGATAATTAAGTTAGTGTATTACACCTTTTTTTTTTTCTTCAATTCTTTTATTGGTACATTTTAGGTATACAGTACATTTAGATTTAGCTTTGGGTGCTTGCACCTGTACATGATGTATCTTGTTTCTTATTTTTTCCCCATTACCTGTGCGCCCTTCACCCCAAACCCTTCCCTATTTACACACTTTGTTTCCGTTTATTTTTCTTTTCTCATGATTTTTCCTTTCCATTCTTTCCTTTCCCCTTCCCCTCCTACCACCCCTACACATGTGTAAATACCAAATAGTTTCTCTAGTGTGAGAAACTGAGAGTGTAAATAAGGACTAAAAGGATTAATAACTAATAATTGATACTTTGAAATAGTGTATTACATCTTTAGGACTGCCACAACAAAATGCCACAGACTCTGTGGCTTAAATGAAATAAATTTATTTCTTTACAGTTCTGAAGGAGCAGAATCCAAGGTCAAGATGTCAATGTGGTTGGTTCCTTCTGAGGTCTCTCTTGTGGGCTTATAGATGGCCATTTGGTTCTTAGGTGACCCTTGGTTTTCCCTCTGTGTCTGTCTGTGTCCCAACCCCCTCTTTCTATGAGGACACCCATTGTGTTGGGTTAGGTCCACCCATGTGACATCATCTCATCATTTGACCTTAATTACCTCTTTAAAGCTCCTATTTCCAAACACAGTCACATTCTGGGGAGCTACAGGGAGGATTTCAATGTAAGAATTTGGAGGACACAAGTCAGTGCATAACAGATGATCCAGATGGACTTTGGCCTTAGACTTTGTCTCTTTCCTGGAGAAAAGTAACGTCTTACTGGCCTTCACTAATTTCTATAACTCTTGATTTTATTAGTCCACGTTTGCACTACAAGATAATCGCATTCATCTCCAGGAGTTGGTGCATGCACGTAACACACCTTTTTATGACCCTTTTCCTCCTTTCTCTCCTCTCCTTCCATCTGTTGATTTCCTTCTTGTTTGCAAAAGATCTATCTCCCTGTTCCATATCTTTTATTTTGCTCCTTAGTTTATTTATATTTTTTAAGAGAAACCACGTGATAATAGTTTTTTCTCCCTAACCATAGGTTACATATGCACAGATTGAACTGTGAATCAAGTATATTTTTAAAAATTGTGTTTGTAGTAAAAATGTGGACTTTTTTCTTATCATTATTCCCCACACAATATAGCAAAGCAATGATTCACATTGAATTTACATTGTATTGGGTATCATAAATCATCCAGAAATGATTGAAAGTAGACAGTAGTATATGTGTTTGCTGCATGTCAGTCCTGCAGACTTTTACAAGGGAGTAGAGCATGCAGCAATCCTGAAACTAGCCCTGGAAGATTCTGAAAGGTGACTGACCACAAAGTGTTTGGTGCTCGATAAAAAACAACAAAGCAGGTAAAAAGACAACATGAATATGAAACAGATAATAGACGTAAGGATCCAGAAGAGAAGTCACTAGATGGGTTATGAAATAACAATGTTTTTATGTACAAAGATATAAAACAACAGGTTAAGTAAAAATATAGAAAAGTAGAAGCAATGAAAAAGAATCAATTGGGAAATGTAAAACTGGAAGATATAACAATTATGATTATGATACAAAGAACACAATATTTTCAAATGTATATCAGAAGAAATTGAAAAGAGAATCAGTGATCTGAAGAACACAGCAAAAAGAAGTATTTGGAATAAAATGCACAGAGAGAAAAGGAAAACACATGAGAAATGCGAAGATCAAGAAAGAATAGAGTGAGAAGAAGTAACACGCATATGTAGAATTTTCTTAGCAGTGATGTAGATAATAGTGCAGAAGTTATATTTAAAGAGTAAATAGCAAACATGGCGTTGTGGTATACATTTTTTAATCTCAGCACTGAGGGACACTAAGGCAGGAGGATCACAAGTTTGAATCTCCGGGCTGGACAACTTAATAACACTTTGTCTCAAAATAAAAGATAAAAATAAAGAAGGCTGGAGCTGTAGCTCAGTAGTAGAGCATTCCTGGGTACTATACCCAGTTCTGAAAGACAAAAAAGAAATAGCTGAAATTTTTCAAAAATTTAAGAAAAATGTCAAGCTACAAATCATAGTACACAGTGACTTCCCTCTAAAAAGCCACACCTAGGCAAATCACAGCCAACTGTAAAAAACAAATTTAAAGAGAAAATAGGAAATGCAACCAGCAGAGAAAATGCTCTTTAAATTTGAAGCATATTTATAGTAACTACTTGAGCGCTGTTCTCTGTGCTGCTGGGGATTAGGCCTTAATTCTTTGGCTGTCTAGGTATTTTTAATTGGACACTGATGAATTATAAGCAGTGTATTCTCTCTTCTTCCTCTTCTCCTGTCCTTCCCTTTCCTCTCCTCCCCTCCTCTTCCTCCTCCCCTTCTTTCCCCTCCTCTTCCTCCTTCTTCATTTCCTTCTCTCTCTCTCTCTCTCTCTCTCT